AAAATTAAGAAAAAGGGAATTTCGCATAATCAAAGAAAGATTATCGAATTAAAGAAATTTATGTTACTACGGTAACAGTACTCTTATACTTTTTATATTTTTTATATTTTTTTATACTTTTATATATTTATACTTTTAACTTATTTATTCTAAGTAAACATAATTTAATTAATTAAAATTCTTTAAGATTTATACTTTTTCTTCTTGATTTCTCTACTTTCTATATTTAGTAAATTAAAATTCTATTTTTAGTTAGTATAATTATCTTTTATATCTTTTCTTGTTTTTAATATTATATTTGTATTTCATAAAAAATATATAAATATAAATTATAGTTGAACTTTAATTCAACATGTTGAAACTTGAAAATAAATAATATAATAAAATAAATATCTTTTAATACTTAAATAATTTATCTTTCTCTCTCAACTGTATATTTCAAATCTTGCAAACAAGTAGTTTTGAGATCATATTGAGCTAATTAAAATATTGATATTGAATTATTAAATTGATATTTTGTTATAGACTAATCTTTTAATATTTTTATTATAATCATATTATTTGGAATTCCTCAACTAAAAATATCATAATCTTTTTCTTGTAAGAAGAACAAAGTGAAAAAGTCTTTATTACTTTTGTTATTTTTGTTATTTTAATTAGTTAGTTAATTTATTTATCACTTTAATTAAATTAATTAGTTAGTATAATTATTTAGAATACTATATCTAATTAAAATTTTATTACTTTATTCTTTTTTTTTCAAACTATAATAATTTCAGTAGAAATTAACATAGAAGTTAGATATTATTTTCATAATATTTTTATATTTGTTTAATTATCTCTTCCAATTCTTGTTTACATTTATTAGCTAATTATCCAATTAGTAAAAATATGTAATACTAGTTTTATAATTAGTAAATAATATTTACTATTACTATTATTATTACTTAAAGTTTCAAATATTTTATCACTATTATATAATTTATCTAATATATTAAATTCTTATTTACTATTATTATGAACTATTTTTAAATATTATTTTTATTACTTTTATTATTTATATAATATTGATTTATATTTATATTTATATCTTTATTTATTATAACAATATATTTTTAATAACTTTTTTTTGTTAATTTAGAAAAAATAATAATATATAATTATTATAAATATAAATTAATTTAAAAATATACTTATATTTAAATAATTTTTTTTGATTATAAATATTTCTAAAAGCTAATTAGTTATATTCTGCATTTGCTAATTATATTGAAATTGTTAATATATATTATGTTATTTGTATTAATTCTAGTGTTATTTATATAATATTTAACTAAATTAGATCCAATTCATAATCTAATTCAAAATGCATATTTCAGATTAGATCAGATTGAGATCAAATCTAATCTAAAATACTAAAATTATTATTTTTCATTCAATAAATAAATAATAAGTATAATTAAATAATAAACATAATTAAATAATAAATTATTTTTTATCTTGTAATTAATATTTTATCAATTTGTATTACTATTAATAAATTTGAAATATTTAAATAAAAAATAAAATTAGTTATAAATTATATATTTTATTTAATATTTTATTAACTATAATAAATAAAATTTCATTTTTTGAATTTTTTAAGACTTTATATTATTTGTAAAAATAAGAAAGTTTTAAAGTATTATTTTCAAAAATTGTAATATTTATAATTATTTTTCAAGTATTACAAGAAGCTCAATAAGTTTTTTCCAAAAATTTTATTTAATATATTAATTTTAATTTTTTCATTTATTATTATATTTGAATTTATTAAAATTTTATAACTAGTTAATTCAAAAGCCAAATAATTTGTTTTTAAAAATGCAAGACATATTGTATTAAATTTATCAAGTATTTAAGTATATTTAAGTATTTTCATAAGTTGTTTTAATATTATTTTAAAATTGTTACTTAAATATAATGAAATTTAAAATATTTAACTATTATTTTGCTTTTGATATTATATTTTTTGTTCAATTAAGTTTCATAATATTATTAATAAAATGTTAAGTAAATGTGCTAAACATTCTATAAATATAATACTTGAATATTTAATAGCTAAATTTTCAAGCTAATTTATTACTGAAATATTATCTATAATTATAATTATAATTATAATTAATAATTTTCTAATATCAAGTTTACTCATTATTTTATAGATATATTTGTTGTATTCTGTTCAATTTCTCCTATAAATTTAGCTGATACAAATACTAATAGTAATATAGTTAAAATAAAATTAGATCAAAATTCCTAAACAATAATAATAATTAGTTTAAATAATAATAAAAATATATAAATTAACTTTTTATCTATTACAAATAAGACAAACAAATTCAGCATTATTTATATAATTTTATATTTTATTTTTAGTATCTTAATATATTTCATTAAGTAAACTGGTTAAATTTTTTTACATGTGGAATTTTTAATGTTGAGTATGTTTTTTAATCTAATTATTTAATAATTTTATTTCAGAAAGTGAGTTATAAATCACATTTATAAATAGTTTTGGCAAATAATTTTTTATTTTCTATTTGTTCAAAATGTAAGATTCTATCAACAAAATTATTAATATTTATATTTTGTAATTTTATGATTGTTGATTATTGATAATAATATTTTAATTAATCGAACAAACTACATGTATAATCTTTTTAAATCCAAAACTAAAAAACTGTCAAACCGATTTTAAAACTCCCAATTTTTTAAATAATGTTTGTGATCTTGCACAAGTTGTAAAACCAATTAAGGATATAATACTATCTCGTGAAACAAATATGACTAATTTTCTTGGATATATTAAATTGGCTGTTACAGTAAAAAAAAATGCCTCAAGATCGACACATTATATTTAAGCATGTATTTCAGTTTTTAATATTATTATTTGCATCCACAACATTGGGTCAAAAATTAATTTAATTAAAGTTGATTTTAAATTCTGGTAGGGTCAGGTTCAAGGTTGAAATTAGAGTAAACATTATATGTAAAATTGCCTCACCAAGCTAGATTAAGCATATGCTTCCTATACATTTTCTCATTTTTCATTTTCTTGCACAGGATTTGTTTTGTCGGGGTTGATCAAAAATTTACGCATTCTTAAATTTAGTATTAACGTTAGTAAGTTTGATATCTTACTAATAATTTATATCAAAATAATAATAGAGGAATACCGTACTGCTCAATTAAGTACTCCCAAATTTTTATATTAACCAAAAATAATAAATCCTTATGAAAAAAATTTACGCTATTTTGCGAATTTTTCAAAGTTTACGGAATTATTGATTAATTGTGTATATATGCTCTAATTAAAATTCCAGATATGCATGTGTCCGGATTGATTAATGAATACATGCATCAAGAATCAATAAGAAAAACATACGTAATTCGATGTGTAAAAATACCTATCTGGAATTCAATTAAAACTTGCATATGGAACATACGGAAAAATTACAGACACACTTTTTTCATAGGCTTGTTTAGAAAATTATCATGTATTTTTGCATGTAATTTATTTGGGTTCGGTTCTCCAGACTGACACAAACCGTTCGGAACAACTACGTAGTTTGCTTTTGATAATTTGCATCATTATTTGTGTAAACAGGATCATGTGTATAGCTTGCATATACGTATATGTAGTTTGCGTATGGCTTCATATTTAAGATTAGAACACAAACGAATAGTAGAATGACCAGGTATTATTATTGAACAAATAACGGTATGTTTCACAGGTAAAAGGTGTAAAGTTTACCACAGGTTGGTAATTGTTAAAACTCAAGAAATCAATGTAATTTGAAAACTTACTCTAAACTTAAAATAAAACAATATAACTTATTTTGTAAATGCGTTAGTTTATTACAAAGTTTACATAAACCTGAATAGAATTGGAAACCTTATGCAAACACGTTAGTATATCACAAGATTAAACCTTTAGTAAACCTTACCCTTTTACCACCAAATTGTCGTACGCATGGGCAAAATAAACGGTAACGTAATAATACATGTACCGTATAGCGCTGCATACACCTCTTTTTAATCATAATTTTTCATACATGTGTATTCCTTTCATCACGCTGTATTTGGGTGGTGGTGTTTTTGATTATGATGCTTAACATCTAAAGTCATCAAATTTTATATTTTATACATCTTTACTAAGAAGTAAGTACAAGATTTATTCCGTGATTATGATAGAATAGGCTCTATTCACGGATTAAATTTCTTAGTAAAGATGTTTATACAATTTATTTTATACGGTATACTGAAAATAGAGAAGAGTTTAGAAACCGATTTTATTTTTAATATCTAAAAATAGTTTTAAATATTAAAAATAAAATCGGTTCCAATTGAATTGGTAAAAGAAATTAACGTTAAAATATTTAATAAAATTCACAATGACGAATTTGTGTTAAATTAATGTAACATTTGTCAGTACAGTATTTATAATGTAAAATTTTCCCGCCGGACAGTATATATAAATAACTTAATTGTTTTGAAGAAGCTTCAATTATTCAATATGTATAAACCTGTTAGTAATTTTAATGGTAATAAAACTTCAATTTGTAGCCAAGTAGAAGCGGGAAAAATTATAACTGAGAAATTATATTGTTGTTCTAAAGATGCTGTGAATTGTTTTCCTTCATCTGACTGCATTGGCAATTATGAAGTAGCCCAATGCCATAATCTCAATAAGTTTGATGCTTGCAAGCGAACTGATGTGGCCGCAATCCAAGTCTGTGGTGGTTTGCAAAATAGCATAATTTGTTTGTCGGTAGATACCACAAGCAAAAATTATTCAGACTATTACCGCTTTTACAAAGCTGTTGAATGGATAGTTAATCGCAATTCTGAAGCTGAAACCAATAACATAACGGTTTGTGATGATGGAACTAGTTACCATCCATGTAATACTAGCAATCCTAACGGAACTATTGCTAATCTCACTTGCAGTGATTTATTTCAAAATGAACACCGATGTAATTGGCGCAATATCACTAATGGCCAAATACTCGCAGACATTCCTCGAAAACCTGTAGTGGAATTATGCGGACCAACCACCACTGCAATATCAACCATCACCACCACCACTACCCCAACAGTAGTTTCTTACGATAATAAACCTGTAATCATCGGCTTAGCTACTGGTATGGGAGTTCTGGGAATAATAGTTATTACTTTAGTTTACAAATTTCGAAGGAGAGATCCGGTTATCATTTCTGACAATGGTAGTAATTATTCGTAGTTTTCAAGAACAAAGATGTTTTTTATTAGCCTCGCTTCCTAAGATTATATATAAATTTTCACTAGCTAGCCCATATACGGAAGCTGTTAATTTTTCTTTTCCAAATTTATCATAAATAATTCGCGAAATGCCCTGCAAGAATCTTTTTTAGATCACTACCAGTATCGTTTTCCCATTATTACTTGGTCAAAAAATTGAAACCGTGGAGAACATCAATAACAAGTGAAAATCAAAAATGAAGAACAAGATATATTATCCTGTTTTTTTTTTATCTTGGCTATTTCGATTTGGTTCATTGTGCAGCACATCGTCAATTAAAATATAAAAATCACTTATTTTTCGAGTGGCAGAATAAGCATCAAACACAACTTCACCAAAGCTTTCTGAGGAGTTCTAAAAATACTATTAGTGATTTAGAAAGGACCTAACGCTAGGCTATCGTTCCATGCGAAAAAATCAGCTTAAAACTTATCGATTTTATCCCCAAAACTAAGTTCAAAGACCGAATTTGGCTAAGTTTGAATCTTGCTAAGTATTAAAATTTGATAGAACTAAATTTAAAGGATTTTTAAGGTCTATTTCACACAGGAATTGATTGGTTATGACAAAATTTAATGAGTTGAAGAAATTCCCTTCGAAATTCTTTTGGAAACGATGTAACCATCATAAACTGAAGCTTTCAATGAGCGTAGATGATGTTGAATCATAAGAAAAAATTTTTAGATGAGATTCGTCAGACATTTAATTCGTTGGAGAGAAAAATAAGAATTCTCCTATCATTTCAATTGCATGTAATATTCAATAAAATTTGTTCACAGAGAATTACATAAAAGCAGAACAAGGGTCAATATCTAATCAGTTCCACTGAAAAAGGGTTATCTTAAAAGATTAATCTAAAATACATGTACAGTTCAGTTTATGCTGTAACCTGTTCGTACTTACGTAATAATTATTTTGTACCAATACAGGAATAGCTTTTTTGTAAATTAAAAATGAACACTCAATTTTCCATCTTAGGACGAACAAAGAATGACCTTTTATAATAAGAAAAAATAATACGAGATACACAGTCAACGTCGATATAACAGAGGATCGATATAACAGATTTGGTCTATAACGGACTATTTTTCGGAACCAGCTATAAATAACATTATACAAATTTTGTCTGTTATAGCGGATCCGTCGATTTATCGAACAGCATGGCAGGAACGGAGGGATCCGTTATATCGACGTTGAGTGTGTAAACTTTTTGTTTCATTGATTAGTTACAAAAACATTCCATATACACTTCCACTCTCAAATTAAAGCATGAACTTTATGCATGCACATGTACATAATGTGTTGTGTAGTCTGAATATTCAGAACCAACCTGATTACGTATCTAATTGGTGCCAAAATGCTCGTACCCGATAAAAAACGCACTCACTACAATGATTTATAAGTCCGTGTTTATCAATGTTTTATTTAAAACTTTGAAATTATTGGTAACGATAAATAAACGTGGGAGTTAATTTCTGCGTCCGTCCAGCGTCCGTCCAGTACAGATTGTGTGTGATTAGAATTTCTATTTTATTGTTGTTATCATTATATTAAGAGTGCTTATGTAGTGTAAAAGTGCTCCAATGAATTATCATTATATATAGATAAGCTGGTTTTACAGTAATAATGACAGATCATTTCATTAAATCATAACTAACCTCCATTTGTATGTTATAGAATTTCATTCGTGTGTGTGAATCAATTCTGCGTTAAACTGTATTAAAAGAAGAGACTTTATTATTCCAATAAATCAGACATGATATTAAATTTAATTGACAAATGCAGGTAAGTGTT